CCCTAGCCGCCATTCTTCTTCTTCTTCTTCTTCTTCTTCTTCTTCTTCTTCTTCTTTTCCCCTCCGCCTCTCCCTCATCTTCTTCTCCTTCCTCTTCTCTCCTCCTCCTCCTCTTCCGCCCATCTTCTTCTTCTTCTTCTTCTTCTTCTTCTTCTTCTTCTTCTTCTTCTCTCCTCCTCCGCCTCCCCCTCATCTTCTTCTCCTTCCTCTTCTCTCCTCTTCCTCTTCCACCCATCTTCTTCTTCTTCTTCTTCTTCTTGTTCTTGTAGGACCGCCGCCACAGCAGGTCGCGTGAGGCGCGCGAGGTGCGTGAGGGGCGGCAGGTGTAAAAAAAAAAAAAAAAAAAATTCTTCATCGCAGACAACCCGTTCCCCCCCCCAAACCAAAATTTTATTGCAGATTCGAGGTCCTCTCGCCGAGCACAGGAGGACCCCGCCTTCGAAAAAAATATATATATATTTCTGGGCAGTTTTTTTCGCCCGCCCGGTTTGCCCGGGCGACCCGGCCGGGCGTAGCCCGGCCGGGCGGCGTCCGTACTCAGGTTTGAAAGACTTTGCGTTGATGACCCTCGGGATCCTTAGGAATCAACTCACCAGAGGTTCAACACAGAAAATAAGTACACTTCGAAGTGCGAAGCGGCTTTGTGTTATAGATAACATGCTCTTACCAAGAGAGAATGACAACGCAGAAGACATTGGTATGCTCTACACGCCCCTTCCCCTTGGGTATGGGTTGGTCGGGCTGGCATATTTACTAGTCAGGACCTCAGGGCCAGGCCTTTGAACCACACATCCTCGTATTCAGGAAAAAGACATTGCTGATTCATGTTTATCGAGATAAGCAACGGGACTGATGCCCCCTAGAATAGATGGGGCAGTGCGTGTTTCGTGGACAAAAGCAAAAAAAAAGAAAAGGACATTGGTGTGGGAGGGTATGTTGGTAAGCAGGTAGGTCGGTCTCAGGGAGGATGGGACAGAGGGGAGCACAATCGTACAGATATAAAGATCGATGATAAGGATGGATGGGCTGGATGGATAAACCCATTCATCAATGGCTCGATGGAGAGATCGCTAGGCAGATCAAGCAAGAAAAGGGGTGGGAGAAGAAACGCATAGCCAAAGTAAAGCAGAAGACAAAAGGAGAGACACTTTGAGAAAGGGAATTTCAGAATTTCCAATTTTGATTTTTTTTTTAATGTCAACAACATCGCTTGGGAATTTCGCTTTTGTGTCTGAGGCAAACGTTGTCCACACTTTCTTCTTTTCCCCCCCCCCACAGAAGTGGTGCTGCGGGTAGAGTTCAATAGAGCACAACACGGAGTACTACTCCTATGCAGTGGAGCACAACGCACATACAAACATTTTATTTTTTGTATACGAGAGATGCACTGGAGCTAAGAGAAGGCAGACAGGGAGAGCAAGAAAAGGAACAGGAACAGAGAGGGACAACGCAAAGGAAAGAACGAGCAAGAAAAAGGCGAGAACGGAAGGAAGGGAGCATGGAAGAGGGGTGAAAGCAGTGGGATTTCCTCGGCTCCAGGTGATGCTCACATCAGGTGTACGCGGATGCAGCTCCAGGTGATGCAGGTTGCGGCATAGAGCATCAACCACGTAATCTGCATTGGCTGCAATCAATTTCCTTGGAGATGGGTAGCCGCAAAAGACGCAAATGCTGTCAAGTGTCAGCTTCGCCGCTTCACTCACTGAAGGGTGGGGATCACCAAGCTTATCCAGAACCTGTACTCGTACACAAGAAACACCAAGCAAGGAGCGTCTATTGTTAGTCATAATATAATAAATAAATACTAAATGCCAGTATGAGCCCTCGCTGTGGGCTTAAGCAGCGACCTCATGCATCCCAAGGGGGCCCCCAGGCTGCCTCATGCCCGCCCTAAGTGAAGGCGGGCCTGGATTTCCGAAACGAGGCCCATTTTTGTAAATTTATGCATTGAGGAGCGCCAGACAGTTACCACATGGCAGTTGGTTACAGAACAGTGTCTGTGTGAGCACCACAAGCTCACACAGACACAGCCTCTGGGCTCACTTCAGGAGCAATGTGGCCAGAGGCTCTCGGCCAAAATAGAAGACCAGGCAGCGATGTGGCTGGAGGCTGGACAGCCAATGAATGAACGCAGCAAGTGACAGCAGACGTCTGTACAATTGGGCTGCCTCTATGCTGCGGACGCAGACAACTGTCTGAATGGGCCTGGGCGCAGACACTTTGGCCCGATGTGAAGCTACCGGGCTGCTGCACGCCAGGCCCAGCCCAGCCAGAGCCAGGACTCACTTTCCATATAGGAAAGTGAGCGCCCAGGGGAGGGGCATTCTGGCCAGGCAGGCAATGCGGTCACGCTACTGCATTGCAAGGTGGCTGCGTTAGCACTGGCCAGAGGCGCAAGAGGGCGCTGTGAGGGGTGAGGGGCGCTGCAGTGGCAACGTGCGCACGTCGGCCATAGCCGGGCTGCTGGGGCGCATGCCAGTGGGCGATGGTGGTCTTCGGGAAAGGGAGGTGCATGCTGTGGGGAGTCCCGGGGCGATGAGGAGAGAAGAGGCACATACCTGGTGTATGCTGGCAGTGGGCATTGGCGACGTCATCACGTACATCGGTCTTCAGCTCGAAGTGACTCCTGTTGCAATACGTAGTGCAGGCTAGTCTAGGCTGAGTAAGATAGGCTGGGCGCAGAGCACCAAACAAGATGAGCGACATTGGATACTATGTTGGTGTGGCAATAGAGCGTCAACATTGACATTTGAGTTCATTGTATTGCTCTTATTTGGATGGTATCTCGGTGCATTGTGCTTTCTGCTTGGTACTCGACTATCTGGTCTACAGCGTGACTTTGCAATTTGGTTTTCTGTCTATCGCTCTCGCTCATATTCCTTGCAGTAAAGAGTGAATTATTTAAAGTCTTAAAGACTTAAAAGCAGGGCTGGTCCCCGGATGGACCGGGGAGCCCTCCCCCGACCGGTGTCCTCCTGGTTGCCCCCAGCGCATTTTCGCTGGGGCCTCAATTTTTTTTTTCGGCGGCGGGGTTGTGTTTTTCAGGCGCCGTGGGGGCAGGCCGTCGCCCGCAATTCGGAAACCGGGTCCTGCAGGCCCTGCTTTTCCTTGTTAGAAAAGCGGCCGATCTTGGCCGTCGATCATCGCAGATCGGCGGCCAAGATCGGCCGCTGTTTTCAAAGTTGGACGCGGGAAGTGTCGGGGGG